CCCATTTTATCTATCCCAGTTTGCAATCACGCACCTATGGCCTGTAGGTTGTCCCTGTGGGTCCCTAGAGATGTCTTTGTCACTCTGTTGCCTGGACTCTTGGAATTCAAAGTCCTTTAGCCTCAACACTGCTGTGTTTGAGGGACAAGGGAACTTCGGGTCTTCTCCAGCATGTTGGATTTCTGATATTTACAATTTTTATATCCTCTTATTGTGATGATCCTTTTTTCCTTAAATAATACCATTTTTTCTCTACAATTTTTCTTTTAATATCTATCATTTCTGATAGAAGTGTTGCTACCCCAGCTTTTTTCACTTCTATTTGCATGGGATATCTTTTCCCATACCTTCTGTATGTTAGTTCTGAAGTGAGTCTCCAGTAGGCAACATATAGATCTTTTTTTTAATCCAGTCACCAGTGTCTTTTTTACTAGACCACTTAGTCCATTTACATTTAAGTAATTATTGATAAGTATGTACTTATTTTCTTAATTGTTTTCTGGATATTTTTATATTTGTCCTCTGTTCCTCTATTATCTTGATCTTTCCTTGTGATTAAAGACTTGTGTAATGTTACATTGAATTCTTTTATTTTTTGTATATACTTTTTTAAATATAATTTATTGTCAAATTGGCTAACATACAATGTATACAGTGTGCTCTTGGTTTTGGGCATAGTTTCCCATGGTTCATCATTTACATACAACACCCAGTGCTCATCCCAACAAGTGCCCAACTCAATGCCCATCACCCATTTTCCCCTCTCCCCTGCCCCCCCCCATCAACCCTCAGTTTGTTCTCTGTGTTTAAGACTCTCTTATGGTTTGCCTCCCTCCCTCCCTCTGTTTGTAATTACTTTTTTCCCCTTCTCTTCCCCCATGGTCTTCCGTTGTTTCTCAAGTTCCACATATGAGTGAAACTACATGATATCTATATTTCTCTGACTGACTTATTTCACTCAGCATAATACCCTCCAGATCCATCCCCGTTGCTGCAAATGGCATGGTTTCATTCTTTTTCATTGCCAAGTAGTATTCCATTGTATATATAAACCACATCTTAATCCATTCATCAGTTGATGGACATTTAGGCTCCTTCCATAATTCGGCTTTTGTTGAAAATGCTTCTATAAGCATTGGGGCACATGTGCCCCTATGAGTCAGCACTCCTGTATCCTTTGGACAAATTCCTAGTAATGCTGTTGCTGGGTCATAGGGTAGATCTATTTTTCATTTTGTGAGGAACCTCCACAGTTTTCCAGAGTGGCTGCACCAGTTTGCATTCCCACCAGCAGTGCAAGACGGTTCCCATTTCTTCGTTTCTGGTTACCTTGATTTCATCAATAATATCCTATGTTCATCATAGTGTATATTAAGTTTATGATCATTTATGTTGAAAATATTCTAAAAGCACTACATTTGTATTCCTCTCATGTCATATTTTACATATTTTTATTTTGCATATTCTTTGATAATTTTTGTAGACATAATTAATTTTACTACTTTTTTCTGTTAAACCTCATACTGGCTTTGTAAGGCTTTATAAGTGCCTGAGCTACTACCTTTACTGTATATTTGCTTTTACCAGTGAAATTTTTTCTTTTAATAATATTCTTTTTATTATGGCCTTTACTTTTCCACTTGAAGTCCCCTTAACATTTCTTATAAGGCCTGTTTAGTGGTGATGAACTCTTAGCTTTAGTTTGGGAAACTTTTTATCTCTTCAATTCTAAATGATAACTTGCCATGCAGAATGTTCTTATTGTAAGGTTTTTTGTTTTCCTTTTAGCATTTAGAATATATCATGTCAGTCCCCTCTATTCTGCAAAGTTTCTGTTGAAATATCAGCTGATAATGGGAACTTGGGTGGCTCAATCAGTTAAGCAGCTGACTTTGGCTCAGGTCATGATCTCGCAGTTTGTGGGTTTGAGCCCCGCGTTGGGCTCTATACTGACAGCTCAGAGCTGAGAGTCTGCCTCAGATTCTGTGTCCCCTCTCTCTGCCACTCCCTGTTCACACTCTTTCTCTCTCAAAAATAAACATTTAAAAAAAAAAAAAGAAGTATCAACTGATAGCTTTATGGGATTTCCTTGTATGTAACCATTTGCTTTTCTCCTGCTGCTTTTAATACTCTCCTTTTATCTTTTTTTTTTTTTAATTTTCAATGTTTTTTTTATTTTTGAGAGAGAGAGAGAGAGAGAGATAACAAGTGGGGATCACCAAAGAGAGAGGGAAACACAGAATCTGAAGCAGGTTCCAGGCTCTGAGCTGTCAGCACAGAGACAGATGCAGGGCTTAATTCACAAGCTGGAAGATAATGACCTGAGCCAAAGTCAGACACTCAACTGAGCCACCCAGGCAGCTCAACCCTTTATCTTCAATTTTTGTCATTTTAATCATGTGTCTTGCTGTGGCCCACCTTGGATTTATCTTGTTTGGGACTCTCTGTTCATTTCAAACCTATGTCTGTTTCCTTCTCCATGTTAGGAAAGTTTTCAGCTATTATTTCTTTAAATGTGTTTTCCTCCCCTTTTTCTTCTCCTTCTGGGACCCCTATAATGTAAATGTTATTACCATTAATGTTGTTGCAGAGATCCCTTAACCTAACCTTTTTTTTTTCTTTTTTGCCATTCAGCTTGGTTGCTTTCCACTACCTTTACAGATTGCTGATACATTCTTCTTTTTCCTCTAATCTGCTTTTGATTCTCTCTAGTGTATTTTTATTTCATTTATTTTATTCTTCATCTGTGACTGGGTGTTTTTTATATTTTCTATTTCTTTGTTGAATTTCTCAGATCATCCACTCTTCTGTCAAGTCCTGTAAGTATCTTTATGACCATTACTTTGAACTCTTTATCAGGTAGATGGTTTGTCTCAATTTAAGTTAGCTTCTTCTGGGGGTTTAATTGTTGTTGTTGTTTTAATGTATTCTTCTACCTCTTCTTTTTGTTTAAGTCTTTGTATTTGTTTTATATATTAGATAGGTCAGCTACGTCTCATTGTGTCAAAAGTAGTGGCCTTATGAAGTAGGTATTCTGTGGTGCTCAGTAGTGCACCTCCATCCCCCACTATATGTTACCAGAACTAGGTGTTCCAGTGGTGTCCTCTTTATGGGCTGCATGTGCTCTCCTTTTGTGGATGGGCCAAAACTGTTGTAGTTGCATCAATAGGCAGAGCCTTCCCTCAGCCTGGCTGTCTGCAATGACTATCCATGACTTTTGTTGATGTACTGGCTGAGACGTCCAGTTGCAGACACTGCAAGCATGCTGGTGAGTGGGGTTATCTCCCCACTCTTTGGGGTAAAATTCACTCTGAAGAATGAGTGGTCCTGACTAAGGGTGTCTGCCATGTGTGGAAGAGTGGGAGCTGCTTTGGAAGGGAATCTACTTAGTAGAATGGATTGGGTGGGGCCAGTCTACAAAAGAATGCCAGTGTAGGGCAACATGCTAGCAAAGTAGACCGAGGATGTCAGACCTGGCTTCTGCTAGTTTCTGGCCAGCCAGGGCAAGAAAAATGGCTCTTTCCAGCACTTCTATTCCCAGAGAAATCTCCTGTAGATCCTAGCCTACAATTAGTCAACAAATCTTCATATGCAATTCTGATGCTTTTCAAACTATAGCTTCTGTGCTAAGTCTCAGATTGAGGAATATAGCATGTTGGCCTTTAAAAGGAGATTTCATTCCCTCTGTGTCCCTGAAGTTAAGTGTCAAAGATTTTCAAAGCCAGTTGTTATGGGGGCTCATCTGTCTGGTATATGTTCTTAGGGTTAGTGATGGCTTGGGACACAGTTTGATCCCCTTCTTTTCCATTCCTGTGATATCCCTCCCGGCTGTCGTCACTGCCCAAGATTTTGGTGCCTGAGTGCATTTCTGACCCCCCTACCCTTCTTGATGTTGGTTTCTCTTTACATCTTTACCTGTGAAAGGTTTGTTCTCTTAGTCTTCAGGTTGTTTTCAGAGTGAGTTGCAATACATTGTAGTTGTTACCTCTGTATCTTTGAGAAGAGGTAAGCTCAGGATCCTCTTACTCTGCCAGTTTTTTGTCTCTCCCTAGCCTTTTGTGTGTGTGAGTTTGTGTATATTGAAACTTGTGACTGATTCTTCTTTACTCAACCTAAAAATTTAAATGTTAATATCATTCAGAAACACCTTCACAGAAGCATCCAGAATAATATTTGACTGAATATCTGGTCCTGCCATCGCCCAACTGAATTTACACATAAAATTAACCATTAAAATATGTTTACATAATGTGCTATAAATATTGAAAATATGAGACAATGGTTTCTATTTGTGCACAAGAATGTAATGGCAGGTTGTGGATATGACTGTAAGCTAAGATGACTTTCTAACTCTGGGCCTACCTCCTCTCCCGTCAGTCCTTTCTGTGGACAAAACCACCACCTTTAATTCTGCAGGTATTTTGTTTTGTCGACATCTATATGATGCACTAACTCTTCAGTTACCTGTATGTCTGTGGATATGCTGCCCAAATTTTCTGGCCTGAATGGCTTCATTTGTAGGGAGATCATTCCATAAACCCCAAATTCTGTGCTCTTTATAATCTCTAAAGGAAGATGCAGATGTCACCTTTTATTATTATGAGAGCTATAATGGATAGAATATAAAAACCACACTAAAAAGATAATGAATTTTTACTCTACCTTTACTAATTTATTGCTCATGAGAATAATACTTGGCCAAGTTACTTAATATCTCTATTTCCCATGTACAAAGAGTAGAAGAAAAGAACCTACTTTACAGTGTTAGCATAGAGATTAATTAATGTATATAACAGTTCTAGCACAGGACCTGACATTTAGTAAAAGGATTGATTATGTAAATATATTTTAATAGGAGACTCTAGTAAGACTGTCTTTTTAACTATAGGTTCCTATCTCCAGAACTTTCTCATTTTAATACACACACACACACACACACACACACACGTATGAAAATATAGACCCCATAATAATATAAATTGTTTCCTAATGAAACCAAATGAGGAAAAAAAAACCAATATTTTTATTTCATTTTCTTTTTAGATGCATGTGAGCTCTCACATAATGTTCCCATTCAATACCACCAATTGTTTTCAAACTTAGAAGATGATGACTAAAGTTTCAGGTTATAATAATATCTCAGCTCTCACGGAATAGTACAGGCTTTGCACATATTTCAAATGTCTTGGTTTCTTGAGCAAACAGATACTAAATCTGTCACTAGACTCAAAATCAAGTCGTCAGCTGTTGGCCCCACTCCAGTATATAATGGAACAAATTCCAGACCTCTCCCAGAGTAATTCTTATTTGCAGTCCAGAGACATAAGGCTGCTGTAGTTAGATGTTAATAAAAGATCTCAATGCAGTAGAGCAAAGTACAGTAGGAGCAAATCTTTTATAAGCCAAATGGGCCAGTGATCTGTCGTCTGGCAGCAGCTATAAGGAGAAAAGGAGAGAATAGAATTATAAAGCGTAGTTATACTTACATATTACAGAAAATATTTTCATATTTTCAGAGGATTTTAGGCAAACTGTAGTTAGATACAATTATAAAGTATACAATATATAAAAATGAAAAAACTGAATTCAAGAATACGGTGAAAACTCTGTTCTCTCAATCCAGTTAAGCCAATTTTTCTCTTCTGTAATGCACTTACAACTTCCATCATTTATTATTTCCATTAAAAGAGGAGTCTGATCTCATTAGGTCAACATATAATTTAGAATTTAAGTCTTCTAAATTGAATCCTTATATTACATGTTTACTTAAGCCAGGTGTATGTTGATGTGAGCAATAGCATGTAGAAGATAATAGTCATCATTACTTGAACTAATTCCCCCAGGGTAATTGTACTGGTGACCACATGGTTGAGGTAATGTTTATGGTTGGCAGTGGCCAGTTAAATTAACTAAATACAATTATTTTCTAACTTGAACAATTTCACTCAGGATTAAAGTTAATTTTTTTCTATATTAAACTGTTGTATCAGGAAAATACAGATAAAATATCAACCTTCATTAAATTAAAAAAGCTGCTAAGAAGACAGCCCAAATCTATGTTCATTATCTTAGAAAATGTTTACATATTTTATTTTCATAGTTGTATAGATATGCATAGTCCCAATTTTCTATCTACAAAATCTGACTTTTGTTTAAATTAATATATATACATATGTATATATATGTATGTATGTGTGTGTATACACACACACACACACACACACATATATATATTTCTTGGAGTCCTAATGGGCACAAGGTTGTATCACTGTCATTCTCCATAGTGCTTGAATATTTATGGGTGGCTCAAATTGTTATTACCCATTCAAAAAGTGCAGATCATTGTTGAAATGATTGATATCTAGGGGGTCTATACCAGGATATTAAACCTATTATCAATGAAAAAATAAGCAGTTAATTATGGAAAGCATGAACAATATGAAGGAATTTGGTATTAAAAAATAATACTTCATAAATGGAAAACACAAACATTAATGTAAAAAAAGAAATATAATCAGAATGGAATTTCTCTTTAAGATCTAGAGCTCAATATACGTTGGTTAACATTAACATATAAACAATAAAGAAATGTAGAGATAAAAATATTTTCTACAGAAATGATATCATGAACTATGGCAGACTAGGGCATTCAAGGAACCAGTCTCTCCACTGAAACAATTAAAAGTGACAAAGACTGACATTTAATTTTTTGGAATTCTATAATATAATCCAAAACTTTCATCAACCAAAGGATTGCTTAATGAAGTAAAGGACAGCTGATTTTTGAAAGAGATTGTTGTCACATTTTGCTCATCTGCCTACCATCTCCCATAGCCCAGCATGGTCATACATGTTAGCCAGTGTTTCTGATGCAGCTTGCTGGTTCCAGAGGGCTAATATGGACCTTGTTGTTAAATACTATCATTGTTCATTTTGATATGCTTGTAGTTCCCTCAGGAACTAGCACAGAGACTGGCGTTTTTTGCCTCCTCCTCCCGCCCATTCCAGATTGGAGTGACTTTCCGGGGAGCCACATATGTTGTAGCATTTAAAGATACATACTATGCATGCCCACATGGAACAGGAGACAGCAAAGAGTAAATGTGGAAGAAAACCTTAAAGATAACTGAACATATATTTAACATGCATGGTTTTATTTACGTAAAAAGTTCTTATGAGGTAGGGACTATCTTACATCAAAATCACCTCCATTTGAAGGATGAGGAAATCAAGGTAAAGAGATTAAACAAATTGCCTGGAGAACTGGAATTTGACCTCATTCGCTTTGACCCCAAAACATGTGTTCGTATAAATATTGACATAAACAGTGCACTTCAATGGTTGTTGAGAAAACATTTGTAGGCCAAGAAATAAATGCCAAGCAGGTTGATTCAGAAAAAAACCCAAATTTCGAAAAAGGGATCTCAAAGTATTGTACAATGATCAAAAACAAAAGCCTCACAAGAGAAGCAAAATTTCACCAATATTCAAATAAGAAATTAAGGAAATAATATCTTAATAGCACTTATTTTCTAACATTTTCTATTTATAATTTATAAATTTATAATTTATAAATTTATAAAGTGTTGTTTTATTGAATATAAACACCAGGAGGGCATAGACTATTCTGTTTTGTTCCCTGATATTTCCAATTGTAAAGAATGCTGATGCCTGGCATATGGTAGACATTACAGTGTAGTCTGGATTGAGTTTAAAATATTGTCTTTGTGCCTGTATAAGGGCTAATATGAAATGTAAAATTATAACCAGGGAAAAAGTGTTTCATATAACAAATGTTAGCACAAGTAAGAAATTTCAAGCAAAATATGAAGTCATCTCTGATTAGAAAGGGCACTCTTAGTTTTTGCCTTGTATTATAAGCTTGAGAAATTGTGAAAATTATTTTGAATAAAGTGACCAAGTTTAAAGGTTGAGTTTACTCCGCAATATTCAGTTTTTATATGAATCTGAACATCTGGTGTTATATAAATATATACAATATAGATCATATATAGAATATTTATCAGATAAGACTCTGTTAAATAAAATTATTACCAAAATTAAAGATAGGTCAACTTAGCAAATTTTATAAGATAAATATTAAAGAAAGTTACTAAACATCTGTGATTATAGATGATAATAGAATAACTATTCTGAACAATTACACGCAAGCATATAGGCTAACATAGAAAAAATGGATACACTCCTAGAAACATACAGTCTTCCAAGACTCAATCAAAAAGAAAGAAAATCTGAACAGACCAATTATTAGAAAGGAGATTGTATCAGTAATCAAAAACTTTCTAATAAACAAAAATGCAAGACCAGATGACTTCATTGGTGAAAATACCAAACATTCAAAGAATATCAATTCTATTCAAACTTTTCCAAAAAAATAGGTGACAACACCTTCAAACTCACTTTGCAAGGCCAGCCTTACTCTAATAGTTAAGACAACAATACCCAAAAGAAATTATAGGCCAATATCCTTGAGGAACATAAATGCAAAAATATTCACAAAATATTAACAAACTGAATTCAATACATTAAAAGTCTCACACATCGTGAAGTAGGATTTATTCCAGTGTTGTAAGGATGGTTCAACAACCATCTATCAATGTGTGTCACCACAGTAATAAAATGAAGAATAAAAATCTTATGATCATCTCAATAGATGCAGAAAAAGCACAGACAAAATTTAACATCCATTTATAATATTTTAAAAAATCCTCCAAAGTGGGTATAAAATGTATCTCAAAATAAAAAGGCCATATATGATAAACTCACAGCTAATATCACACTCAACAGTACAAAGCTGAAAGCTTTTCCTCTACAATTAAGAACAGGACAGGTACCTATTCTCATCACTTTTATTCAACATTGTCTTGGAAGTCCCAACCAGAAAATTAGGCAAGAAAAAGAAAGAAAAGTCATAAAAAAATCAAACTGAAGACATAAAACGTTCACTATTTGCATATGATGTATTATATATAAAAAGCTAATTCTAACAACTTTTTTGGTAGCATCTTTAAACAAATTTAGTAAACTTTCAGGATACAAGATTAATATACAAAAATCTGTTGCATTTCTATATACCAGTAATCATAGAAACTAAGAAAATAATTCCATTTATAATTTCATCAAAATAAAATAATAAACTTAAGGAAGTGAAAAACCTGTTCACTGAAAACTAAGATATTAACAAAAGAAATTTAAAAAAATCAAAAAATACCCCATGTTCATAGACTGGAAGTAATGTTGTTAAAATGTCCATACAACACAAAGTAACCTACCACTTCAGTGCAATCACTGTCCAAACTCCAAAGGCATTCATCAAAGAAAAAGACAACAATCTTAAATTTGCATGGAACCATAACAGACCCCAAATAGTCAAACAATCTTGAGAAGGAAGAAAAGCTAGAGGCATCACGCTCTCTGATTTCAAAATATATTACAAAGTTACATTAATTGAAACAGTATGGGATTGGCCTAAAAACAGATAAAGAGATTAATGGAACAGAATAGAGAACCCAGGAATAAATCCATGCATATATGGTCAATTGATTTCTGACAAAGGAACAAAGAATATACAATGGAGAAAAGACAGTCTCTCTTTAATTTTTTTTAATTTTAAGTTTTAATTTTAAAGAACATGAGCAGGGGAGAGGGGCAGAGGGGGAGAGAGAGAAACAAGGAGAATCTTAAAGAGTTTCTATGCTCAGTGCAGAGCCTGATGTGGGGTTCAATCCCACAACCCTAGGATCCTGACTTGAGCCAAAATCCAGACTCAGATGCTCAACTGACTGAGCCACCCAGGCACCCCTTTCTTAAATTAACTTTTTAAAAATTTTTATTTTAGAGACTTCACCAGCAGGGGTGAGAAGCAGAGGAGAGAGAATGAGAATAAGACAGTCTCTTTAATAAATAATGTTGGGAAAACCAGAGAGTCATATTCAAAAGAGTGACACTGGACCACTATCTTACACCACACAAAAAAATTAACTGAAAATTAATTTAAAACCTGAACATAAGACCTGAAACCCTAAAACTGCTAGAAAAAAAAAAAAAAAAACAGGTGATAATCTCCTTGACATTGGTCTTGGCAATTATTTTTAGATTTGATACCAAAATCAAAGGCAACAAAAGTAAAAATAAATAAGTGGGATTATATCCCACAAAAACTTCTTTACAGCAAAGTAAACCATCCTCAAAATGAAAAGGCAACATGCTGAATAGCAGAAAACATGCAAATCACATATCAGGTAAGGGCTTAATATCCAAAATGTATAAGGAATTTCTACAATAACATAACAAAATAAAAGAACAAAATAATCTGATTAAAATATGGACAGAAGATCTGAATAGACATTTTCCAAAGAAAACAGATAGCCAACAAATAAAGAATATTCAAATGTCTAGTCATCATGGAAATGCAA